TTTGTTATCAAAGAAGAATCATATCGATAACTGTATTCCTCATTAGTAAGCAGATACAAATCAGATAAATATTGTCATTCTTGATCCATTGAACCTCTAGTCCATGCTAACCCGTGAAAACTTTGAATATGGGTAAGCCTAATTTTATACAGGTCGAAACTAATTTATCATACTTAATTATTCACCTCAACCCAATTAGTACCTTAGAGTATCAGGTCCATATTTGTATATGTTAGCATTTCTTTAATTTATCGTTTGTCGAGAGATTATTGGCAAGAGGAGATTTTGAGAATTTATTGCTATATAGTAGACATGTGATTCTGATTACTGTTTGCTTACATTGTTTCTTGAAGTTAATGTCAAAGTTTTCGGTTATGTCATCTGTAGTTGTTATCTTTACTTAGTTTTCAGTTTTGTATATGCAGTGATATCAGCAAGAAATGAGCAATTAGTGAGAAAGAGAAACAGGGAGACCTGGTTTAAAGAAGAAGATTTAATGTCCATAGACTGATTTGCATTAGTTTATCAAATTTCATGTATTGGACATGTTGGGTTCACGCAACAAGGAAAGGGCTGCAAATGAAATAGGAATGATAAGCATGTGATTTTATGGTACAATATACTAGTATGGACCCCGTGCAAAGCACGGCCGTTTATTTTTTTATCATTATATTTTAAATTTGCTCCTCTCTAAGTTTTAATACATTTGATTTGATTATTATACTCTTAAAATTTAAAATTTATGTTACCAAAATTTTTGTGATCTGACGCTTATACATTCGTCTACATTGATGATTATTCAGATTAATTTGAGGCTTGCGTTGAGGAATAATTCAAAGCAGTATATGATGGTTAGGGGTGGAAACAAACCAAATATTTAATAAACAATTCGCTTAATCTCCGTCCAGATATTCGGTCATATTCGATCTGACTGTTCATTTAATACTAAATGATTATTTTCAGTATTCAACTTACAAACAAATAGAATTTAACTAAAGTTATATTCGATCAGGGTGATTATTAACTATTCGATAACCTTTTTATGTTAATCCTATAAATTAAACTTGTTGCAAATATTACCCATCAAAATTATTTTTACAGCTTCTTCCCCATATATAAATAGTCTTATGACGGTTATTATTCGTCTAGATATTCGATCAAAATTATTATTCGTCTAGATATTCGATCAAGTTCGGTTCGGTAGTTCATTTAGTACTAAACAAATATTTTTTAGTATTCCGCTTATAAATGAATAGAATTTAACAAAATGTATGTTTGTTTCGGAAGTCCATTAACTAGTTGATTAGTTTTTGCATTTTAGTCCTATTAATTTAATGTATTGCAAATATTACTTATCTAAAATTTTATTTACAAAGGCTATCCATATAAATAGCTAAGAGAGAGGATTCTAGAGCTAGGGTTTCACTTTTCTTCTTCGTTCTATCAGCCTCCTCCAGCCAGATCTGATCGCCTGCTCTCTCCTCTCTTTCTCTCTCTCCCCTCACCTCGTCCTCCAGATCTGATCGGTTCGTCTCTCCCCCCCCCCCCCCCCCCCCTTTCAGATCTAACTCCAAGTAGATGAGCTCCTCTCTCTTCTTTCTCTCTCCTTCAGATCCGTGACTCCAAGTGGATTCTAGAGCTCGGGTATTCATTGTTCTCCCTCGAAGCTGGTTGCTCACTCCTCCCTCAAAGCTCATCCTTCGAATCTTGTTGCATCGTAGCTCGTCGTCCCTCGAATTTTGTCGTCGACTTCTCCCTTGAATTTCATCGTCGACTTCTCTCGAATCTCGTCATCTACTCCTCCCTCGAATTTCGTCGACTCCTCCCTCGAATTTTGTTTTATTTTTTGTCGGCTTTGTGAAAATCCCTGCCTTTCTTAGGGGAAATCGACGAGTTTTTGCTTGATTTGTTAGATTTCGGAAATTACACGTATAATTTCTGCATGATGTTCCCTTTCGTTGATTAGTTGATGAATAATTATAGGTATAATTATAGGTTTTTGCTTTATTGATTCTTGTTGCTAATTACAGGTATAATTACAGGTTTTTGCTTTATTGATGAATAATTACAGGTATAATTTCTGCATGATGTTCCCTTTCGTTAGATTTCGGGTTTTTGCTTTATTGATTCTTGTTGCTAATTTTTATTGTTGGCTTTTTGTGCTTACATTGAGGTATTGGTTGTTGGCTTATTGTGGTATATAATGGTCAGTTTGAATTTAATGACAGATGGCTTTCTTTAGTACTCAATTCTGGTATGTGTTCTTTTGATATATGTTTTTTTAGATGGGCAGTGATGATGATAACAAACTGAGAATGCATCCTATTTTAATTAATTATGTAATGTTTAGGCGAGGCAATTCTGTGTGGATTGCAACCTATATTGATATTATAATATTTGGGTGATGTAATCCCTCATAATAGCAGCCTACATTGCATCATAGTTTTATAGGAGAGGCAATATTTTATGACCAATCTATTTTTATCCTGAGCCCTAGTAAGTCCTCATAGATTTTGGTGATGAATTCGAGCTTGTTTAGTTCTAATTTTAGTAGGAATTGGTGCTATTTTGTAGCTTATGAGTTTAATCATACATAGTTGAAAGAATTGGTTTTATCATGTAGCTTTTATAATTGACAGAACTTGTTTTATCATGTAGTCAGCAACAATAACTTTATAATTTTCATAAATTGATAGATTTGTATTACTTGTGAAGTTCGTAGAGCTTTGAAATATACAACATCATAAATTGTTTCTTCCGAAGCCTTCATAAGTTGTTCTCATTGTGAGTATTCCTACATGTATGATGAAAAATTTATTATCAGTAGTATAGATGGTTCATAATTTATTAATTCAAATGTTATGTTTCACAAAATTTATGTTTTAAGCACTCTATTTTCTCATGAAGTTTATGAGTTTAATGTTATAAGTTGATGTTTTCCCTCTTAAAATCCTATTGACTGTGGATGCAGTAATTTGTTGAAATCTGTAAATAATATTGGGATATATATATTGCCTATAAGTTGCTCATTTAAATTGCTTGTTTAAGATGAGTGTTGTTAGTCCAATTTGAAGTTTTAACGAACTCTCTTTTGTGGCTTTTTCTTCATACTAAAGGCAAGGAACTGCTTGTGTAAATTTGAGGCAGTATAGATCTTTCTTCTTAACTGCTGCAAAAATAGCTATAAGAGGTGCGAGCTTTGCAAGAAAATTATCGCAAGGAAAGAATTGCATGCATAAGTTAAAATAAAAGCTTGATCAGGTTGAATATATTTTGAGTATAAAATCACCTTTAAGTGATCAACGCTGGTAAGTTTTTAATTAGTGTATTTTAATTACTTTGTGTTGTTTCATTGTCATAATCTTGGGACATAGTTAATTTTTGAAAGGCGTATCTTAGAGTGAAAATACTTATATTGGTTTATCTTTATAGTCTTTACATCGTTTCAACAGCTCTATTGTATATACCGCTGTCAATAAACCAATACATATGCATTTTAGTATACAATGATGAATTAAAATGATAAAAAAACTTATTCTATTATCATTAAGTTTATTTGTTCTAGTGCATCCACCATTTAGCGTGACTGGGTAGCATGAATAGTTTGGATGTACATTCTTAATTTTTTTGATGTTTTGAGGAAAGGAAAATATCAGTTATAACTACAAAATAAAAGGCTTTATTAATTCTTGTTGCTAATTTTTATTGTTGGCCTTTTGTGCTTACATTGAGGTATTGGTTGTTGGCTTATTGTGGTATATAATGGTCAGTTTGAACTTAATGACAATTGACAGATGGCTTTCTTTGGTACTCAAATTCTGGTATGTGTTCTTTTGGTATATGTTTTTTTAGATGGGCAGTGATGATGATAACAAACTGAGAATGCATCCTATTTTAATTAATTATGTAATGTTTAGGCGAGGCAATTCTGTGTGGATTGCAACCTACATTGAGATTACAATGTTTGGGTGATGTAATCCCTCATAATAGCAGCCTACATTGCACCATCATAGTTTTATGAGAGAGGCAATCTTTTATGACCAATCTATTTTTATCCTGAGCCCTAGTAAGTCCTCATAGATTTTGGTGATGAATTCGAGCTTGTTTAGCTCTAAGTTTAGTAGGAATTGGTGTTATTTAAATGTTATGTTTCACAAAAATTATGTTTTAAGCACTCTATTTTCTCATAAAGTTTATGAGTTTAATGTTATAACTTGTTGTTTTTCCTCGCTTAGAATCCTATTGAGTGTGTGCACTAAGTTGGTGAAATCTGTAAATTAAATTGGGCATATATATATTAATAGCCTATAAGTTGCTCAATGAAGTCATACATGCTTAAGATGAGCATTGTTAGTTCAAATTTGAAGTCTTAACTCTCTTTTGTGTGTTTTTTTCATACTAAAGGCAGGGAGCTGTTTGAGTAAATACATCTGGATAAATACATCTCACTATACACAGTATTGTAAAAATATATATGGATAAGTAACAAAACCTCTCAGGCCACTTTGAATAAGCAGGACCAAAACAATCTATGCATTAGATGCCACCCTAAGTGATGAGACCCTTGTGGCTTTTTTTAACACGAAATTTGTATGCGTTTCTTTCATAAGACTTTCCTTTATTATAGTTTTCCTTGCTTATTAGAGTTTTCATTTTTTATGACCTTTTATATATCCCAATATACTTTTATATCTAAAGGGTATTACTTCTTCAATGATTAATGAAGGGCAAGAGATTTCTTTTTGTAGTGCTGTAAATATTAGCCAAAACCGCAGTTTGATTTTCAAATATAACATCTGATTCAAATTTGAAATTATGACTGAAACCATATCCTGGCCGGATTCAGATTTAGATTATTAAATTAAAATTAAATTTGGGTCGAATGAACATTTAGATCCGAGTACTCGCTTAAACTTAATAAAGAATAGATGAACACTTAGATGGAAATGGTCTGATCAGGAACCAGAATCAGAATTTGACCTGATTTCTTTTTGAGGTTAGGATCGGATTCGGCTAAGATATTCGTTTTACACGAATTCATATTCAAGTCTTGCATAGATCTGAACTGAATCTGATCCCTTTACAGCCCCATCTGCCATTGAATTGATTCCTTTTGTATCAACAATGCTGGTACAGCATCATGATCACAATTTTGGAATGTGGATAAGAACATTCAATATTCACTTTGCTTGCTATCATAATCAGTAATACTTTCTTCTATTAGACTAATTAAATCATACCAGAATCGCTTGGCGTTTTGTTACTTATCCATATACATTGTGTGTGACCTGTTATATATTTTTTGTACATCTTTATCTTCCAAAAAATTTAAACATGTGTCTAGGAGCTTATATGCTTTTATTACAATGATATTCTGGTGGATTTATTTCATTAAAATGTGATTACATCTATATCTGAATGATTGGAGATGTAAATATGATAAATTAAATTGGGCTTGCTATACACTTTCCAAAATGATTAATAA